GGGGGGGGGGGGGGGAATCAGGATTTTTAACTCTTTGAACTGAATTTAGAGAATATTTCTATAATTTTTTATATGTTTCATGTTTAAAATATTCTGTGAAGTCCTGTGTCTAATATTTCACTAGGTTACAGAATTGTCAGCTGCTTTTATAGTAAATAGATTTTTCTAGATGTGATGCAGTTAAAATCTCTTGATTATTTATATTTTCATGTAGTCAAAAACTATTTACTAATTAAAGCTGCAGCTTCTTGGTTTAGTGTTAGTACTTAACTTACATTTTGTGGTTAGGAGATCTTTGGACTGATGTGAATCCCATTGGACTGATGTGAATCCCTTGTTTGCAAACAAGTTTGGCAATGTCCACTTTGTCATCTCCTTGCTCTGACCTCAAATCTTTGGCATACAGCCTGGCCAGGATTACTGTGCAGCACTCCAAACCTTATTGTAAGAAACTCAGCAGCCTTAATGTTCAATTTATCAATTGTTTTTCTACTAAAATTTAAACTTTTTCTCGATGGTACAAACATGGATTTAAATTATTGCATTTCATGCTTACATGCATCAATTTCCTTTGCCTTTAGCCTTATTTGGTCAGCATTGTCAGTGGCATTAGTTCTTGCTTGTAGTATCTGTGAGAATGTTGTGCCACTGATTGGTCCCTTATCTTTCATTTAATTCATAAGAATGTGTGGTAAAGAACTTCCACTCAATCTTTACACAGCTTTATTCCTCCCTGTTTGGAAACAAAGCAAAGTTAGCCAAGAAGCCACAGCCATGGAGAGTGAGTGTCCTTATAACTTGAAGTGCTATATGGTGGTTGGACACTTGTTCGAGACAGCATTCTTTCAGTATTTTGTCACAGTAAATATATTGCGTTTCTTGCCCTTGTCAACCTTGTTGATAATTATGTGCCATTGGTCTTACAATTTCCAATCACATGACTATATTGCTGTGGCAATAAGTTCCTATATCGCTTGTGGCAATAAGTTCCAGCAACAACTGCTTTTCCAGCCACAATCCGTACACTTCCACTTTGGGACAGTGCTCATACGCATCATCTGTCAAGTGTTTTCCGCAAGTTTCTAGCCATATCATCTGATCAAACAATTTTTGCACTTTTGGACAACCGAAGCATTCTAGATTTACGGATGGGAATGTTGAGGTCTGCCGACAGGTTTTTTTTGTAATTCCCGCCCTTATATGCAATGAGAGAGTTTTTGCACATACTATCATAGAGGCTTGTGATTGTTTCTTCTAGGGGTGATAGCAGGATGGCATCGATTCCAACTGGCACACCAAACGGGAGTTTGTGGATGTGGGTTTGGACAGATTTGCACATATTTTGGTGTCATGCCATCGCAGACCAATGTCGAAAAAGAAAGACTGCTGTAGCATCTCCAACTTTTTAGTAAGCCCAGTTCTTTTCAGAGAAATTTTATTTTCCATTTACAGAAAATCGATCCATATCGATAATTGCTGTGATAAGGCAGTAAGACATTTTGAAATGTTGACCACATACTTTCCGATCTGCTTTAATATAATTTTAATAGCACTGTCGCGTGTCACATGACATTTGTTGCATGGCATTTGTTCTGTGACATTTGTCGCATAGTGTTTGTTCCATAACATTTGTTGCATAACACATATGATCTGACGGGTCACGCTTGACAAAAATGCATGCCAACACGCCAATATGCAATATGTACGTGCCAGCGGTTATTCAAATGAAAGTATCCAAAATCGTATAGTTACATGAAGTGTATAGCCACTTTTTTCAAAATGGCGGGGCAAACAAAATTCACCAGGGACGATGTAATTGACCAGGTTTTGAACGAAGGTCGTCCAAATAAGCGGAAACATGAGGACAGGCATAAGGTGAAGAGGGCCTTAGTGGGTTTGGCCATTGAATCGGAGCTGGACTCCGATTTATTTGTATCAGCTGGCCTGAATGCGTTCATGCCACTCTATGCCATATGCAAGAGTCAACATTGCACTGCCAATATTTTGGCAAGATAGAATGTGAGCACCCCCGTGATCTTCCAAAGTGAAGCAAGGTTATGGCTTACGGGTATTAATCAGCGTCTGGGTGGGAGACGGAGGATAAGAAATCCCTTCATTGGCGAGATTTCTCAAGATATACCCTTCGAGTTGTTTTCTGTAGTAGTCAAATTGTCCACATATTGTGAGCCTTTTTGCTACTACAGTACTACAGTAATAACAAGAAGGGGGAAGTTATCTCTTTTTCACGTTGCTACAATTGGTGGTGGAGTTACTTTCATTGCTATCAGGCTATACAGAAGAAGTAGTCAAGTATTTTAAAAGGAATCTTACAGCCGGGTCTCGAAGAGGACATAATATTTCTGTCATCTGCTCAGACGTTAAGGATTTTGCCTTTGTCTATAAGCACAGGTGAGGTAAACTTGTTATTTTATTTAATTTTGGTGAATGGAACATTTCTGGCTTTCCACAACACATATAAAACTATATTTTATTTAGGCTGTAAGATTCATTTTATATATACTTGACTACTTCTTGTACATAGTATTAGTACGTTGGTCATTGGTAAGTAAACTTTGTTTACACATTTGTACCTGCTAATAATTGCATACCTGCTAATAATTGCATACCTATAATTTTGCTTCAGCAATTTTTCATATTTTGGCAGACAAATTTAAACAAAATTTACTTAGCATGTTTTTGCTTGCTACTGTGGTTAGAAAATATGAAATTATGGAAAGCCCAATTGAATTACAATTCAACCGAACTTTGCATTCGTTCCCTCAAAACTACAGACTAGCAAGGGAAAACATGCCTTACACCAGCCCTGATGGCGATGAATGAACAAGCTGCAAAATTTGAATGATTTAATACCACCAATAGACATACCTTATGCATGATGACATTTTCTTATGCATGATGACATTTTCTTCATTAACTGGCAATGTGCCCCAATGCACCCTATTTTAGTATTTACTCTGCCTAACGCCAGACGATTTTACTTGTCACTGGTAGAGCACTGCCTGTAACCCCAGTTCGCTGTGCAAAAGATCTTGGAATAATAATGGACGAATGTCTCTCTTTTACCGATCATACCCAGAATCTTACATCTAAACTTATGGGATCATTGTGTCAGATCAGCCGAGTGCAACACTTATTCGATAAGAAAACTCTGATATCTATAATCAATTCTCTTGTGTTTAGTAAATTGTATTATTGCTCGACTGTTTGGGCAGGTACCTTTAAAGAGAATATAAGGAAATTACAACTGGTTCAAAATTTTGCTGCTAGAATAATCTCTGGCAAGAGGAAATTTGACCATATTTCATCCACAATTAAAGACCTTGGATGGTTATCAGTCCAGGACATGTTAGCTTATCGTGATGCTCAAATGGTATATAAAATTATTAACGGTAGTGTACCGTTGTATTTAAAAAATTTTGTAAAGAGACATTCTGACGTACACAATCGTAGCACTCGTAATAGCCATAATCTTGATATCCCAAAATGTAGAACAAGCTTTGCCCAACGTTCATTTGGATACAGAGCTATTAAATTGTGGAATAGTTTACCGAACAATGTTAGAGAGAGTACTTCATTGAACACTTTTAAACACCTGGCTCCTTAATGCCTAATTTTTAAAACTAATACATAACTTTTTAAATTCTGAATTTATACACTCAATTTTATATCTATACTAAATATTGTAATTTATAAACTCATTACTTGTAAATTGTAACTTATAAACTTGTAATTAGACCTGAAAAGCCCTAAAGGGAGGTTCTAAATAAATTTGTATTGTATATTGTATTTAACAAACCTATCAGCTAATTAAGAATTATTGAATGAGGTTGAACACAATATGAAGAATTATCAAGCCCGAAGTTTGCCGTTATCAACCGAAGCCGAATATATTTAAACATATTTGAAAACATTTGGGTAACACATTTCTATGTGTAACATGTTAATATTTAAAGTATATTTAGATAATATAAAGTTGGATTGGTTTTTGTACAATTTAATCTGCAATTATAGCCTTTGTACCCTGTGCAAAACTGTCTGCTGTTATATAAGAGTGAAATAACTAAATAGCAGTGTAACTGTTACATTTAACTCTATTTAAACAGTCACAGTGTTTCTAATCTGTATATCCTAACCCACCCACCCCCAGTCTACTTGTCTATTAGTTTTATTTAAAGAGGCATTGTCAACACGCTTTTTATTTATTGCGCTAGATAGATAGATAGATAGTTTATTAAGATATATCATTGCAGCCAAAATGGCTGAATTGCATATAAATTTACATAATATAAAAGTTAAAAGTGATTAAAATAGTGATAAACTAATTTTTATTGCGCTATTATCTATTTATTTACGTTGGCCGCCATTTTCTTGGTCGAGAAATTCAAGATAATGTTAAGGCAGCTTAGCCTCCTCCGCAGGCAACCTATGGCAAAAATTTTATGAATAACAGCGAATTTAAAGTCAGGGATTTTTAGAGATAAAGGGCCTATAATATTCACATTTTTTGTTAAATTTTGTCAAATAGCGAATGTTGTCGCGCAAAGGACTGAATACATTCTTTTGTCTTGTGAGCTCTCAGCTGGAACTAATGACAGATCTAATAATTTTTTTCAATTTTAATAAACAAAGAGCATGCAAAGCATTGTAGTTCACAATTCCCTTTAATGATATGTTGTGAATACCCGAAACTTATCAATAATATAAAATATGTGTGCAAGCAAATTGAAACAGGCTGTGGATATATTCAATTATAGGTTTGTACTGTTAGGTGTAGCAGCTGGAATTCCACTAAATTCTAAAATGTCAACCGAATACGTACCCACAAAGATCGTCTGGCGAAGAAATAGTTAACAGTAAAGTTGTAGTTAACCCCACAAAACATGCACTAGTACATCCCATTACCATGCTTGTCACGTTTAATATTAAACAGTAGTACCCAGAGTATGACAAAAATAGAAAATCATAATACAATGCACTCCATGGGTTAATCTTAATAGTTAATGATAAAAATCCTCAAATTTCAAAATGCATGTATACATTTCACATGAACTTATCTGATCCTATTCGCTGTAAGTTTATTTTTGAAACATTTAAAGAGACTTAGAGGAATTCCACAGAGTGTACAACCCACACCTATAAAAGATGCCATGTTACACTGTATAATTATAGTTGTCGTAACTTGTCTTGCAATTCTTCTTTCAATGCCAATTACTCAATCCGAATTACTCTTCATCGGCTGCAAACATATGGTGAAAACGAGGGTCTGTGCGAATTTGTAATGTGTTTATATTAACTTTAGAATGGAGCCTCGACTCAGTATTATTGTCCTGGGCAACCTGAGTGTAACTCGGAAATGGTCTATTGAATAGTTTCATGCAACTGTGAAAAAAAGAGCAGAAAATTTGCTGTAAATATAAAAGGTACAACATGATTTTACGTTGCGATACAAATATTAGTATTACTCAGCATAGTCTTGCCATTTTGCATCTTATCCATAAAGACATAAGTTGTATCAACTATATAGTGTGACAATGGCTCATAAATATAGGATGCAAACTTCTCATACTGTAGGATTAATACCTTCATAAGCGTTTTATAGAGTACGTACAGTACTCCAAGAAAGCGAGCAGTGGTAGGTTGAAACCGAAAGATTTACATTGGTAACAGTGCAGGTGTCTATAGTGAAGGCAAAGATCGATACTTTTCCTGGGTGAAAAGGTCTATCATGGAGTTTTACACAGCACCATAGATAGCACTGAAGATACGATCAAATTGAATTAAATAAAACACAGTACAATGTCCATTTTTGTCAAAAAACTAGTGTGTCATGCTACAAACGTAATAATAGTGCAAAATCCCAAATTCATGAACCATTCCAATCCAACTCATATCAACACAAATCCAACCTTACCGCTTCAGACAATGATCCAATACAGTAGCACACTCTCCACTGCACTCATATGAACAACTAGTCAAACAACATACTTTTAGCATTTTGTGCTGAATATAACCATTCAGCACAGCATTTCTACATTGGTACTATCTACACTGGTACAGACAGCTTTAGGTAAGCACCAAACCTGTTTTGGCTAACTTGGAAAAAATCTAGGTTCTTAAGCTCATAAGCCTTCGCAGGCAATCAATCTAGGTTAAAGAAAGCTCTGATTTCAAACTCCAGACTCCACTTTTGGCCAAGACATGTATAGTGACTACATCATTATTAGTGCTTGGAAATTAGGTTAAACAGGTTTGTACGAACTGTTACATGAAGTATACTGCTTGCGGGCGCAGGACAGAAAGGGCGCGAAAACATTGTCACAATTTTTTATCTTCATAGTATTATCAGTGTGTTTATATTTTGTATTGGTTCGATTTAAAGAGCACATATCATCACAATAAGTTGTAAGTACTAATCCATTTTAAGTAATCCTGTTTCTAGGTTCTCTTAGTGTCTTAACATACTAATTTTGAGTACGCTAACCGATAATGTATGTATCTTTTTAGCAAATCTAGTGCTGTTAGTCAGTGCTGAATAAAAGATATTGTGATAAATCGAGAATTGAAGTTTACAAGGTTCTTCATTTAAAGAAAAGCGACTCATTTTTGGTATAATGTAAAGCTGCACTTTATTTATCTCACTGACATTCCCAGATATTTTCATTACTTTGTGTTTCATTTCTTTGATTTATATACATTTTTAGTTTTGACTTGTCTCCATGTGATAAAATAAGTGAAATTCTAGCCTAAAATATTTGAAATTCTAGCCTAAACAGATTCTTATTTAGGATGTCTAAATAAAAAAAATAGCCTGACAAGTTCCTAAATTACATATAATCTTAAATTACATATTCTTATATGTAGGCTTTTACTTGCAATTAGGGTGGAAATAATACTGGTAATTATTAGTTGAGTTTGTTTACATCATATGCTTGTGTGATCAAAAACTAAATGTCTTGGGGGTGATTTTGCTTCACCCCTCTTATTTTGTGTGAAAGTTTTGCCGCTTGCACCCCACTTGAAATTTTTTCACCCCTTCTTTAAAAAAAATGAAAATTCGCTCTTGTTTGCCAAATTATAGATCAAAATCTGTCAGAGAAAATATTATTTACAACAACAAATTCGTATTCAGTGGCTTAGGTGAGCCAGATCTGGTACTCTATTTGGGCTTTACAAATTAAGCACAATCCCGCTTGGGCAAGCCAGCCTGGTTCCCATATAAATGCAAGATGAATATTAGTATAAGTCATCTAGCAACATTAGATCTCGGCCAAGCGAGCTAGCTCAGGTACCCAGATTAGCTTAGTGGCTTGCCTCCATATAAACACCCCAATTAGGTCAAGTAACTTCAGATTAAAATATACTTTGATCAGAGAAACTTTCGATGTATTTCTATTAAGTGAGCAAGTTGTTCATGAGCAGACAGTAAAAAATTACAGTAATTAGCACAGCCAAGTAGATTATCATTTATCACAGTCTGACAATAACACTATAACAGCCATCCAAAACATGTTGACTCCTAATTGCTGATCACTTTTTCATGGACAACTCACTACTCATGAGTATCAAATCTATAGGCCTTAATCATATCATGGGTTTCAATTTGTAAATAAAATACATAGAACAATTTGTATGTAACCACAGTGTAGTCATAAAAAGTATAATAATTCACGCCTGTCAAAAATGCATCCAAAAGTGCCAATATACAATATGCAGTGGGTAGCGGTTTTCGTTGCAGAACTATTCAAAACATGCAAGTTACATGAAGTATACAGAGCGAAATGTTCAAAATTGTGGGCAAACAGGGTAGAAAATCTAGGACTATTGACGTAGTTTTACAAGCAGTTGTTCGCCATAATGCTGGAAGTGATGGGAAAAGTGATGGGGCGAGGAAGATAAAGGGATGCCTTGTGCACAGTGACTGAAAGTCGTTCTGCCGATCTCTCAGTTGACATAAATGGCATGCTGCGGAAATTTTTGGCTAGCTCCAATGCCCTGCATTGTTTAGGCATGCATTGAGATTATGGATGTCAGCAATAAGTTGTCGACTCGGTGGAAAGTGGAGTATTAGACATCCATTTATCATGGTGAAATATATTGAGATATAAAGATATTCCCTTAGAGCTATTTTCCATGCTGGTGAGATTGGTGAAAACCACTCCTGAGTATTGTGAGCCTTTTTGCTTCCTTGGGGAAAAACATAAATAAATAAAGCAAGTAAAATATTGTTGCATTTCATAGCATTGTCCTTTTAAGCAAGATCACCACCATCTATAACTATATTTTTACTTTCACCCATCTCAAATACACCCTTTAGGTAGTTAAATCACAAATACCCCCATTGGTCTAGAAGCCACACTCATAAAAAAATAAATTCATGAACAAAAGGTTTCCTGGACAAGGAAGTAGTTGTGACATAAATATCAAAAGGGTGTATTCCAAGGAAGACAAATTTTCAAGGAATATCTTGATTTATTTCACTATAAATATGTAGACCACTGTTTGTTTATGATGCTCCTCTTGCCTGATCGTGGTGGGAATTGAACCCACAACCACGTTTTCTTACCGACTTGACCCCATACATGTATGGCCCAGTTGGTAGAGCAATTAGACTAGCAAACCAAAGGTTGCGGGTTCTATTCCCACCGTGGTCAAGCAAACTCTTCAGCTCGCCCTGTGTGGACACACTCAGAGTAGTACCAGTGTATGCAGCACCTTATAATAATACAATGTTCTATCTATCAGGATACTAGCATGTGTATATTTTTTTTCTATTAATATTTTTCACATTGAGATTTGAGAACAATAAATTGCTGCATTATTTCATGACTGTAGTTTGATATCTGAACAGCCAAATCATTCTGGCATTCCCCGAGTATATTCCTGCAAAATATTCCTGCATGTGTATATTTTCTATTAATATTTTTCACATTGAGATTTGAGAACAATAAATTGCTGCATTATTTGATGACTGTAGTTTGATATCTGAACAGCCAAATCATTCTTGCATTCCCGAGTATATTCCTGCAAAAACATGCAATAATTATAAACAATAATTATATATATTCTACTATAATTATAAACCCAATGCCCGACCATCACTCTGTCTCCCTGTCAGGTGCACAAATCACCATAAATTTGTTGTCCTGGTGCAGAAACCCTAAGAATTCAGGGATCCCTCAGAAAACCTCATCCCCAATAGCATGCTGTTTAGAATTATTTTCTATTTTAGACAACCCTTCAGATAAATTTTTATCCAAAATTTTAATAATACACCCTTTCAATAATTATGTCATTTGGTCTGGAAGCCTTGCACTCATGAATCGAGATCCAGGGCTCCACAAGGAAGAAGTATGTGTGACGTAAATATCGAAAGGGTGTATTTGCAGGTTACCTTTAAGAATTTGGTTAAAATTCAGGCAATCCCTCTGAAAACCTCATCCCAAATAGCATGCTATTCAGAATTATTTTCTATTTTAGACAACCCTTCCGATAAATTTTTATCAAAAAATTTAATAATACATCCTTTCAATAATTATGTCATTTGACCTGGGAGCCTTGCACTCATGAATTGTGAGCTGGGACTCCAAGAGCAAAAAGTATGTGTGACATAATAATCGAAAGGGTGTATTTACAGGTTACCCTGACGAATTTGGTTAAAATTCAGGCAATCCCTCAGAAAACCTCATCCCCAATAGCATGCTTGAGAATTATTTCCTATTTTAGACAACCCTTCTGATAAATTTTTATCCAAAAATGTAATAATACATCCTTTCAATAATTACGTCATTTGACCTGGGACACAGGATGAAAATCCGAATTTAATTAGCTTTAAAGAAAACCGAAAGTTTCTTAAATGTTGAGTTGAAGCTTTAAGTTGGTTTTAAGTTTCCCTTAAATGTGCCTGACATTTAAGAATTGTTTAAGTAAGCTTTAATGGGCTTTAATAATGACTATGTTGCGCAATGTGGATATATAATTTTAAGTTACTTTAAGGTCGCACTTTAAGCGCACTAAAGATTAACATTTGTCTTTAATGATTTAATGTGAACCCTGAATCTTAATTAAATCAACTGTGACATTTAATGTTTGTTTAAGCGCATCCGGAAATCTCCTTAAATTGCATGCTAATATAGTAAGGCCCACACCAGATTGGTTTTTGTGTATAATTACAGTCCTAGAAATTATCTTGCGGGTGTTTTAAATACAAGACGTTGAAAATATCCCTTCATCAAAAATGTTTCAAATCTAGCTTATTGATACAAAACTGAAGACGCACATATGGCCATTGGCTGTGCAAAATAATTTACGCTCAAATATCGCAATGCTATATTGCCCATATTAAGTTAACTCTTGCCTTGCGGACACCGCCGTTATTACGTTTAGAACAGTTTGTAAATACCCAACCGAAACTACTATGAAACATATTGGAAAAACTATCGCCATTACAGACTCTTGCTATTCCGAACAGTAAATGACGATCCCCAGGGTTTCCGTACAAACGAGAGTTCTGTTACATCTGGCCAGGTGTTTTAAATTAAATATATAGTGGCTTTGTTTGTTGCATTGACCATTGTTGATCTTTGCCAGTATAGCCGCATTATACACGAGCCACAATATTTTTATTTGGACTTGTGACTGCAATTGGTTTTTGAGTTGTGTTGACTGGGTTGAAAATGGAAGAGTCGAGGAATTTGGTTATGTGCGGTCATTGTGATCAACTAGTGTCAAGGTCCACGAGGAACAGGCACGAAAACAAGAGAAACCATCCATGTGCGCTTCGGAAATCGTACCAAAATATTGTTGGAGAATCATCGAGTGACTGCACCGATAGTGACTCCGAGATACAACATAACGGCGGTAAGAGCAGCTAGTTTATTTTTTATCATTTTAATGTAAAACAGTAAAATCGCTAGCTTGCTTCATACATATACAGATGAGATACAACGGTGTCGCTTGGAGCTTATTTCTATTACCTGCGTAAAGATTTTAAGCGAGAAGATATACACATATTGTCATATACATCTATACTGCACACCTTTATGAAGATACAGTATAGTGCATATGTTTGCATGAAAAATCGGATAAATGTAGTAAGCATGAAGAACTGTTGCAGTAAACTAGAATGATTCATCAGTGGTTTGCTACAAAGCAATTAGAAATATTAAATTAAAAGGGTGCAAGGCACAAGAAGCAGAAATATATTAATATACACCACAGTATAATATAATATAAGAATAAATATAAGTGGGATATAACAGGCAATTTGATTGGCTAATGCGCGTGCATTGTGATGCAATAATATGCACTGTGGTCTGTGGCACTGCTTTGCTCTTTCTGTGTGTTTTTTCCCCACTTCATCTCTGCTTTTTAGCCAAAATATATAAACAACATTATAGAGCTTTTAAAATACCAAATTTATCAGAAAGCAAAAAGGAATAGACGGAAGGAACAAAGCAATTTTTCTAGTTCTACGTGTAAAATTAACCGGCTTGGCATTCGTCGAATTTGTTGCTGTCTCGACAAGTTTTTTAAAATTCAAGCGACGGTAAAAGTATGTGTGCGACGTCACTGAGTACATGTTAGGAGAATTTCAATGTCGATCTTTTGAGTAAAATTGTTCACTACATAGTATCTTCTAATTATATTATAAAAGGAATAGAACAACTCGTCTCGTGCGTTTATGGTGCGATAATACACTTGGGGAATGCTGAGAGAATACTCGAGAAGCGGGTAAAATACTTGGCTACACCCTCTTGCTTTAGACGCTTCTCTCGTATTCGCCCAACATTCCCCCGCGTGCATTATCACACCAGAAACGCACACGAATCGTTTTCTATTTCTTAAATAATACTGAAATTTTGCACATAATTTTTTACTAAATGTCAGTCTTCACTTTCAGCAGACTCTCAATACAGCAATTCTAACCAGAATACAGCTTCAGAGCCACAGGGTGGAAATGACGACTTGATGGTAAGAGCCAAGTACCCTACAGCAAATCACCATAGATACTAAAGTAATTTATAATATAACATTGATCGTACATGCACGCGAGCGTTGATTGGTCAAGAAGCGTGTTTTCATAAGCGTATAGAAACACGCAAGAAAATTTCCTGCCCTAGAGCTTCAAAATTAAAACGTTCACTCAATCATTATTTCTCGTTCTCCCAAACAAAGAGTAGGTAATATTAACATTGAAAGTAATATATCGTAATATTGTATTATAACAGAAGATACATACTGTATTACAGATAAAATTATGGATTTCTATGGCAATGCAATTCAAATTGCTCGTCTTCTCTTTTAATATTAATTTAGCTAAAATTACATTACATGTAACATTTGGTATAGGAATCCAACGGGGCAAGCTCTGTTGGCGAGAACACACTAAACGATCCAAACGACTGTGATATGTATCCGTCAGAAGCCAGTACATTGAGTGATTCATCAACTGACGAAGAAAGTGCAGGTGACGAAGTTTGGAATGATCTTCTTATTGACGATCTAATAAAAGATATTGAAAACCCACCACCTCTGCCTATCAAAGAAAAAAAATAAAGACACAGTACATTCACTTCTATTTTGGTTATTATATTTTCTCTTAATATGGCAAACATCATGTCATATTAGTGAAAATGTGGAATGGCATGGCTTCTAAAATTCTTGTCAAGTTGGTTTAAATTGCTTGGCGTAATAGTGCCATCTGATATCTTAGCCCAGATTGTGACAGCATTTCCTGGAACATTGTACATGCTCAGGCAGTTTTTTCATTTTGATCGGGATAACTTTGACAAGTTTGTCGTCTGTTCAAAATGCCACAGCCTTTATGAATATAACGAATGCTTGAAAACTATCAATAACCGAAAAGTTGGAAAAAAATGTTGCGGTGTGCGACATTCCAAAGGGAAAAAAAATTCAATGCGGTGAGGAACTTGTTTACAAAGTTCAGCTAAATAATGGTGATTACCCAATTCATTACTATTGTTCCAATAGCATCATTAACTCATTGGAAAAACTGTTAGGGAAAAAAGGATTTGCCGAGAAATGCGAGCACTGGAGAAGTAGGAATATTCCTGATGGCAAGATGGCAGATGTTTATGATGGCAACATTTGAAAGGAGTTCTTGACGTATGATGGAAAAGATTTTCTCAAAGCATACTATGGACTCATGCTTAATTTTGTCCAGCCATTGAAAAGAAGGAACAATTATTCTGTAGGAGTTGTTTTTTATCTTGTGCTTCTAAACTTACCAAGGGCAAAAAGATTCAAGTGGGAGAACATGATTATTATCGGTATTGTACCTTCACTCAGTAAGGAACCTAAAAACCTAAATCCGTTCTTGAAACCCGCCATCAAAGAATTACAATGTCTGTGGAAAGGCATCAAATTAAGTTCTACCATTAACCGGTTTCCATTGACGTTCAGAGCAGCTATTTTGGCGGTTTCTTGTGACGTGCCTGCCGCTAGAAATTTGGGTGGTTTTAAAAGCCATTCAGGTTACAGAGGTTGCTCTCGATGTCTCAAGTCATTTCCTGGCGGTTTTGGGCAACGTAAAGATTACTCCGGATTTGATAAAGGGACGTGGGAACCAAGAACAAATAGTAAGCACAGACGGTTAGCAAAAAAGATTGCAGGAATAAAGACACAGGCCGAACGAGATAAATTCTGTCGAGATAATGGTATCACACATTACAGCGTTCTTCTTGACTTGGAGTATTTTGATGCCATAAGAATTTTACCATTGATCCAATGCATAACCTGTTTCTAGGAACTGCAAAAGCAATGTTCAAGATATGGACTAATAACCGAATGTTGAGCAAAGATCTAGAAAAGATAGAGGATCGAATTAAGACAATAGAAATTCCAAGTGACTTAGGTCGTCTACCTGCAAATATTTCTTCAAACCATGGATCGTACACTGCAGAACAATGGAAAAACTGGACACTCCTATATTCACTAGTTTGTTTAAAAGAAATTCTACCTGATAATGAATATAATGTTGGCAGACCTTTGTTCTTGCATGCAAGTACATCTGCCAAGTTATTATCTCTGAAACGGATTTACACATTGCTGATGGACGACTTTTTGTTAAGTTTTGTAGAGAAGTCGAAACCATATATGGAAAAGAATGTATAAAACCAAATATGCACCTTCACTGCCATCTGAAGGAAATACTTATTGATCATGGACCAGTTGCGAGCTTCTGGTGTTTTTCCTTCGAAATATTTAATGGCATTCTTGGAAGTAATCCAACAAACAAGAGATCAGTTGAATTGCAACTCATGCGAAGATTTCAAATCTCGCATTTCATTGATCAAAATGCACTACCAACCTCTTATAAAGATGAACTTTTTCCTCTGTGTGCCTTAAACAATAATGATGTTAGCCATGAATGGCTGGAGAATTTTTCATGGACTGAGAGATACGTTTTCCACAACTTGGCGGTATTATCACCACTTCCAACTGGGAGCGTTTGGAGAAATGATTGTGGTGTTTTCTGTCCGTCAAACCACAAACTTTCGTATTTAGACTCAGATGATGCAACGCTGCTCTTAACAGTATACAGTATAATGCATCCGGATATTTCATTCACGTTAAACGACATGAGTCAACTTATTCAGAAGTTTGGTCGCATTACCTTTGGAACCACAACATTTGGTTCAAAGATGGAAACTAGATCAGTTCGATCTTCGAGAATTCTCGCATCTTGGCATTCCAAAGATGGAACAATTAACGTGGAAACGTTTTCTCTTACCCCCGGTATAGTGAGATATTTTTCAAGCATGTTGTGAATTTAAAAGAATTTTCCATAGTTCACACATTTGCATGTGTGAGGTGGTGCAAAGCAGACGAGAATTTTAATGAAATTGACAATCCTGTACAAGTATGGTCAGCAGAATATGACGAAGGTGGACCGTCGTGTTTTATGCCAGTGCAAAGAATCTACTCTCGGTATGCAAGTGCAAAACTTTTACCACGTGATAGTAATAGAATTGCTACGTCGCCAATACTTCAAAAAGTATTCTTGTAGACATATAAGTAGGAATGTAATGATTAATTTGTTTTTTGGTTTCAGCATTTTCTAGGACAAAGTGAGGGGCTGTTTACATGGGGCGAGCCATACCGGGTACCCGAGCTAGCCTGGTTTTGGCGAGATCTCGTGTTTGTTATTATTTTCTAGTGAATTATCTCATGTGTTTATATGGAAACCGAGCAGGCCCGCCTAACCGAGATCCAGCTCGGCTCACTTGGGATCTTGGCTAACCGGGCTGGGTAATTTCCATATAAACACAATTACCTGGGCTGGCTCCCCTAACTGGGCTGAGTGTTAATTCTCTGTTTACACAAATTTTAACGTTATAATAACATTTTCTCGATTGATTTGGATTTTAATTTGCTTATGCCATCGATTTTGGAAGTTAAAACTGTGAAATTTGGCTGCAAAACATGGTTTTTAGTAACTTGGCGAGCCAGCTTGTCTTATGAGTAGTATTTAAACAGAAATAGAATTCACCTCGGCAAAGCGGGCTGGCTTGGGTACCCAAGCTGGTTTAATTCGCCTCCAGAGAAACAGCCCCTAAAACAGTGAAAACATTGATAGGATTTAAATGCACACAACAAAAGAAATATTCGGAGGCTACTCTAAAAATAATATATTGTAAAAATGTTCATTGTACGACGATTAATTTATATAACATACTACAATGTAAGATGTTTATGATGAATAGTTCAAGACTTACTTGATAATGGAACTTAAAAGGCCTTCCTTAAAGGCCATTTTCCATTGAAGTCGCTTTGCCCGCGCGGGCGGAGCGTTCATTGTTTTTGAAGCCCGTCATGCCCGCGTGAGCAGAGCGACTGCAATGGAAAATTGCCTTAAAGGAGTACGGCAACGCAACGACAACGGTCTTGATGTCTCTTTCGCTTCATAACCTATGGATTACTTGTACGAAGCAATCTTAAGCATCTACAGTACATAAGAATAATTTTTAAATATCAAAGACGCAATGCAGTGCAAAAGGTACAGTGGTATCTCAAAAGCGATTGATAATTTGAACCGACAAGAAATCTTACGACGTCATCGCTGTTCAAATCTCTGGGCCTGAGTTACTCACCTTGCTACAATCTAACCAACCAAACCAACATAATCTAATCCAATCTAACCTAATCTATCTAATCTAACCTAGCATTTGTGACCTGTTCAATCATTCGCTACGCACTGGGCGCCTTCCCTCCGAATGGAAATCAGCTGATGTTGCACCCATTCACAAGAAAGACCTTAAAGTAACCGTTGAAAATTACAGACCGATTTCCCTCCTGCCTATCATCAGCAAAGTTTTGGAACGTTGTGTTTCCAGGAGATTCTATGATCACGTCATTCACCTCATCACACCATCACAACATGGTTTTCTTAGAAATCGTTCGTGCATCACTCAGCTTGTCCAAGTTCTTCACTCTGTTGGTCAGTGTCTTGACAAAAACCTTCAGTCTGATATAATTTACCTTGATTTTGCCAAAGCTTTTGATTCTGTAGATCATCAAATACTTCTAAGAAAACTCAAGTCATATGGCGTTACAGGGCGTCTTCTCGACTGGTTTCGTGATTATTTAAGCGGACGTACCCAAAGAGTTGTTGTCGAAGGTGTCCCATCAAGCTGGGTTCCTGTTATCTCTGGCGTGCCACAAGGAAGTATCCTGGGTCCGATACTTTTTGCTGTCTTCATAACCGATCTTCCGGAAGTAATATCCAATGGCTCTTCGGAAGCTATGTATGCTGATGATACAAAATTGTTTAGAAACATCAACTCTACAACTGACGGTGATTGTCTACAAGAATCTTTATCCAACCTCGACACGTGGAGCCATGATAATAACATCAAGTTCAACGCATTAAAATGTAAGGTTTTGAGCGTGACTCGAAAGAAATATCCCGTGACTTACAACTATCATCTGGGTTAATCTTCGTTGCTTCGTGTCCGGAAAGAAAAAGATCTCGGCATCATCGTGACAGACAATCTCTTGTGGAACTCGCATATTCAAATGATAACAGCTAAAGCTAACAAGATGCTTGGTCTCCTAAAGAGAACTTGTCCTTTATTGACGGAAACCAAAATACGGCGTTCATTATACCTATCGCTTGTAAAGTCGAAGTTATGCTATGGTACTGAAATTTGGTCTCCATCCCATGTCTCCCTCAAAGTCAAGATCGAAAGAATACAACGACGCGCGACAAGATGGATCCTAAGATCAAGAATAGGTGAGATATCATACCAGGAGAGACTTCAGACTTTGGACATGCTGCCGCTGTGTTATGACAGAGAAATCCAAGACTTGGTCTTCTTCTATAAGGCACTATACGGTTACGTAGACTTAGACATAGGCAATTATGTTAGTTTTGTAAGTCATGACCGTTCTCGACTAACCTTAAATCCTAGTCTATTACTTCAAGTGCCGTTATGTAGAACAACTACGTTTAAAAACTCTTACTTTAATCGAACAGTTCATTTATGGAATGTAGTGTGCAGAACTGCATCACCTAATAGCTTCGTGACATTATTTACTTTTAAGAACTTTCTTCGTCGGACTTATTCGTTTTTACGTAATTCAGTTTTTGACGTAGACATGCCATGTACCTGGTCTCTTGTTCGAGACTGTCCATGTCACAGAAACTAAAATAATGTATAGTTCTTTGTTTGAAGTAAAGTTCGTTTCGTGTACATGCCTAAGTCACATGTTTTCAAAACCAAGTTAGTTTTATTTTCCGTACAAATTTTCCAAAATCTTCATGCATTTTACGTATTTGGAGATCCTGTGGGTATGCGCAAATCGAGCTTTGCCTCAACTATAATTTATAGTGTAATGTAATTTTTTGTGTAAAGTTTGTAAGGGAGGTGCCTCGCATGGGCTTTTTCTGACCCGTTTGCACCTTTCCTTTTGGGAAACACCTATTTATCGTTATTGTTAGTATTCCCAATAAAGTTATAAAGGAATACAAATTTTGCTACTGTCGTTTCGTTGCTGTTCTGCATTTTAAGTTCCTTATCGATCATTTGAAAAGTAATCATACACTCAAAGTAATACTTGGCTTAAGAGTAGGTTTATATATATAGGAAGCGTTTAAAAGCATGCATGCAGGTACTTTCAGTAGGTACATGTATATATACTGTTGCTGTTCAACGGCAATTACCTTAAAACTTTGATCAATTAATTCATTTCTGGTCTACTTTAACTTAAGGATTATGTCGGATAATGTTGGTCTTTTCAAAGGATTTCTACGCACGCATGCTATTGAAATGTTATCAAGTACCGTATGGTTTTTTGTAATTGACCGTGTGATCTGGGTCAAAAGATAGCCATACGAATATATATCTGATTCACACGATTGTGGATGTGTGCCTTCTATCAGTTCGGGTGCAATGTGGCGGTGATACTTGGAATACTTTCTTTGCTCTTTAGCTCTTAAAGAATACCTCTTAGGATTAGTTATGCTACGACACTTACCGAAATCAATGATGACCGGGTGAATAGCATTATTATCGTTGGATAGCAAAACGTTATCGCCTTTGAGATCGTTATGCAGAAATCCTTTCTTGTGCATAAAATCAAGCGCATCGGCAGCTTCTTTGCAAATTCTGACCCAGTCAACCTGAAGCATTGATTCCACTGCTCCTTTAAATGTGACACATTTCCCGTCAATTCCATGAAATTGTAACACAAGTCGATAGGGCTTTTCTTCGAGAGAGGCGCCAAACAGTAATGGTAATCCTACGGTTTATAAATGAAATGAACTTGAAAATTAATATCATAACAAATCTCAGATAATTTAATTGTTGAACATGTGGATTTTCAGTGCGTATACTTTGTCTTTGTACATTATATTTAAACTATGTTGGACAAATAATAGCATACTCGTTTCACTGACAGCAACACTGCAGACCAATTTTCTATTCACAATTTGATAAGTACCAAAGATATACATCAGGGCATTTTTTAAGGATTTGTCAGTGGAAGGGCCAACTACGAAAAGTGACTTAACTAAGATATGAATAGGGAAGAAGTGGCGATACAAAAATTCTAAGGGGGTCTGTAGGTCCTCTTCCAGAAAAACTTTAGAATTTCCGACCTCCCTAAAATTGATTACCTGCAATTTTAATATGATTTTCTATCATTTTCAGACAAAAGGGACTTGTACTGGGCGAACCAAAACCCTTTACCCGGGGGGGGGGGAGGGGCCAACCTCCGTCGCACGGACTTTCCACCTGGGGGAAGGGCAACATAGGGGCTAGGGGTGAGGCTTTGGTACCTCCAGTATATATGCTAAAAAAGGTCCTATAAATATATATGCACTGGTTCTAAATCTGGAGAAGTTTGACCCTGGTACAGTATAATTAAACTAAAAAAATAAACTATTAAAATACTTGGTTATCACTAACACAAGATGTAGTCCAGGTATATAAGCTCCCCCATGTATAAGCCCATCGAAAAATGCTGATGAACTTACATATTAGCCCAGGGCTTATAATCGGAGGTTTATGGTAATTCGAACATGCCACAAAACTTGGGAAAAAAATTGCAGTTTGGAGCCGAAAATTTAGACTTTTAGTAGTTTTTATCATTTTTATGGTGTTTCTATTTTACTAAATCTTTAACAGGTTTATTAGATTTCAAACCACAAATCACAGAGGTTGATAAGACAATGGACAAAAATATAAAATAAATAAACTGAAACTGTATAAAATAAATAAGGGACCGGTCATTTATTACGGGGAGGGGGGGGGGAATGGGTCGAGAAGAAATTAAAAATTTTGACAAAACTTTCAAGGCTCCTCCCCCTCTATTTTATGGATTTTCTTAGAGGCCACCCCTTATGCATCATATAGTTTTTAAGACATCCCCTCTTCTATTACTTGAAGAACCAAACTTCTGATAGCACTGCAATCCAATAGCAGGGTAATAAAAGTAGGGGGATTGTCAAATGTTGATGGCCCATTACATCTCTAGAGGGGTTAGGAAGAATGCTCCACTGGGAAAATTTTGTAAGTCTACAGGCCCTGAAATGTGATTTCTTCCATTTTGAGGGTTTGATTATGCAAAATTCAGAAGATTCGAAAGTATACAAAACATACTATTTTTCAGGAATATCCCCATGCTTATTTTTCTCACCGTATTTGGACAGATTAAAAAATTCATCAAGGCAAATTCATCCCCCCCCCCCCTTTTCATATAAATGACTGGTGTCACTGGTCCTTAAAATCTGTTTCAAACAGTCTGCTAGACTTTTGAATAATTACACAGTACCTGGATGGTCAAAACGATTCAGAACATCTGCTTCCCATTTCACTAAATCAATTTTTGCATCCTCTTGAAATGTCTTTACTGCCACTGTTATCCCTATGTAGAACATCTTTTTACAAACACCAAAAGCACCACTCCCCAGTATTGGATTTTCATGTCTGATCTCCACCAAATTTTCACATCTTATACTTTTGGCAACTCTGAAAACAAGTATTCAACAATAATATGCAGGGTATTAGTATACACAATCTACATTACCTCCAAGCTGCAATGGGGCAAAAGTAAAATTGTAATGTATGTAAAAGGGCAAGGGCAAAATTCTGTATCATTAGACAGAGTATAAAGTAAGTGATCATTTATTCCATTGCACTCTTTGTAAACTTATCTGCTGAACTATTGTACCATATGTATCTCAAACATTCAGTTATCATTTAATAAACTGTACTCCAAAAGCAGTAAACAAATAATGAATGTTTTCATTTGTGCAATGGTAAAAATATTTTGATTGGGTTAAAGATAGAGTGTTCCATTGGGTCATTCCAGAAAACATTAATACTGTACAGTACCTCCCCCAAGGCGGAAATGAGAAGTTAACCACCCTACCCCCTTTGGATGTCCTAATACAACTACTATAATCACAAACAAATTTTCCACTTCCTTCCCTCCAGATGGCAGAAATTCTCCCCTTGGGGGAAGTGAGTGTTGATCTTTTCTGGAACAACCCATTAAATTCAGACCTGTTGTCTTGTTGAATGAAACATTCCATCTTTAACCTCATTAAATTGCAATATTTGAGCTGGACCATAATACAAGATAACAGGAATCGCTGTCGTAACAACCTGTCAAGACAATACTCAAATCTATATGGGTCTCCAAATAATTTTATGTATGTACCTGTACCTGACTTTACAGTACGTATGTATTTAAATATCTCGAACGGTGGGTGTAAGTGCAGGTAAAGAAGATAACAACTTGCTGTGGTGGAAAGAAATTACAACTACCTGACAAATATAATGAGAACTTTTCTCGAAATGTCAAAGTTCTCATTATATTTTTCAGGTAGTCGTAATACAGTATTTAAACACTACTTAATAATACTGTTCATATACAGTAAAGAAAGATGTTATTTGCACTTCACTTGGTTGAACTAGAATGCTGGGTTTGGTGGATAATCCAAGTGAGTATATACATCACTATATTAAGATCTAACCAGGAATGATTGTGAAAAATGCAACACCAAGTCCTTTGGCAGGAATCAAACTCACAGCCCTGCAATTCTGGAGTGGCGCTCTAACCAACTGAGCTACAGAGGCCAGTTGCTGAGCTGTAACCGTAACTTCATGTATATACCGTATAGGTAATCAGGTGTGCGGGTTGTTATAAGGTAACTTGAAAGATGTTATTTGCACTTCACTTGATTGAACTAAAATGCTGGGTTTGGTGAATAATCCAAGTGAGTATATATACACTATTTTAAGACCTAACCAGGACCGATTGAAAAATGCAACACCAAGTCCTCTGGCAGGAATCGAACCCACAGCCCCTGCAATTCCAGAGCAGCACTCTAACCAACTGAGCTACAGAGGCCAGTTGCTGGGCTGTATAATGCACCTCGGGAATACGTGGGGTATTTGATCATCAATTGCATCCCCACCCTGGGGATTTTGCTATTACCGCCATGTTTGATTCCTCCCAAGCAAATTAATTATAATACGCGCAAAACGCAAAATACGCGCCAAATTTGTATGGTCTGACAGGAATGGCGGGGAATGACCCCTTGCCATTGTAAAATCTTCTGTCACTCGGTCTAGACCATTACTATCGTTTATTTGGAAAATTGATTTCTTAAAGCCGTCGCTATGAAAATAATTTTTCTCCCAATTTATTAATTGTCCTGCAATTCGATTAATTTCGTATTTTTGTTCAAAAATAATAGCAGTTATAAACTCCGGGGTAAGAAAGTGCCGTTAGGTGATTAAAATCCGGTGTCTTACGTATTTTGATTTAAAATGTAACCGTTTACGCGCCAAATCAAATAGACAAGCAGGCCAGGAGAGGACAAAATTTACATACAGTAACGCAAGATAGAAAGGTTAGTGTATTAGTATGTTTGATATTCGTTATATCTCTATTTCATCTTACTAAATCTTACTTTCTCTAATTTCGCATTTCAATTCGTTGGAATCCGCAGTATAGTATGTTGTTGTAATTTATATAGTTTATTCAAGTCACTGGTGACGGTTGGCAAATATGGCGCAGAATTATGATGAAGTTCTTGTGGTTCTCGAAGAAGTTTCACGTGTGAACAAGCAACTTGTCAATGAGAATCGTGTTCTGAAAGAAAATCTTGAGAAGCGACATCAAGAACAAAGAAGGATTTTGGCTGATCTTCAGCATAAATTAGATCAGGTAACGAGCGGGAACAACCATAGCCAAAACAGTCGAAGGAGACACACAAAAACACCACAGGTCAAAGTTCCTGCTTCTTGTCGGGTAAGCGTGTTTAACTTTTAATTTTATTGACTTTAAGTGAACTAGAAAATCATGCTCTGTAGAACATTAGGCTTTCCAATGTGTATATTGAGTAAATATGCCATGTATGTCTGTGATAGCTTGGCTAGGCAGGCTAGCATAGGCTACCACTGCCCTGGGACAGCCAGTCTCATGTGAAACAAATAAAAAACTGTTAAGCAAGGCAAGTTAGCTTGAGCTGCTGTGAGGCATTAGCTACCTTCGTTTGCTGTGATAGGCGATAGCCAACTAGTCTTATGGAAAGCAAATAACAACTGCCATGCAAGGCAAGCTGCCTTTGTTTGCTGCGACAGCCAACTAGTCTTAAGGTTCGGTCACACGGAGCGACAAGTCGCAGGGGCATGTTGCAGGGACATGTCGCCCGAAACGAGTCACACGAAGTGACAATGCTAGGCGAAAACAAGTCGCACAAGCGCTTACAGACGCGTGGTCACACGAGGCTACAATTCATGCGACAAGTCAAAGAACTCCCATGAGGACTTATATTGAAATTGAGCGTGCAAGTAGTCATGGGAATGATATTTTGTGATTGGTCGGACTAATTATTTCCCCGGGACTTGTGAACAGACATGTCGCGGGGTCAAATTTCATCGTGTGTCACATGTGTAAGCGTTGTCGCGGGGACAAAAATACCCTGGTTTGCTATGACAGCCAGCTAGTCATATGGAAAGCAAATAAAAATCTGTCAAGTGGAGCAAGCTAACTTGGTTTGCTGCAACAGCCAGTCTTATGGAATGCAAATATTAACGAACTGCTGCACAATTTGTTTGCTTGTTACATTATTAGTATCAGGTTCACATCTCGTACCAATATCAAATGTCTTGTATTGTTTATAGAGAATTACCAGACAGGTGTACAACACCTTGATGAAGAAAGATGACTTTGGAGGATTCATCTTGACAGAGAGGTATTAGTTTGTCTCAATCTAACCTATTGAGCACTCACAGACACATGACCTTCTTTTATGGGTAGTGCCAGAATAACCATATGGCTAGCCTGCTAACAGGCTCTCAAGGTCAAATGAGAGCCTGCATGGATGATAAACAAATTTTGAATACCCGCCTTTAGAACAGAAATCATAAAGCCCTCCTTTCAGTTTTCCAAGTATGGATTGTCTATGTTTATATGGCGTTGTATGCAACTTGTGCAAACTAAATTTAGACAAGGCGTAAAAAAAATACCTGTGGTTCCGCTTCCCGACCGACCCTATTTTTTCTGCCGACCCTATTATTTTTTTCAACGCGATTGACCGTGCGACCCTATTTTCTCCAGGTGGTTGCGGGCTGCTCATACAGCGTGCCATAATGGCGTCTGTTGTCACACTAATTATTGAACCAAATTGCCTAAATGCGTCCATAGGGAATACGCATCTCTAGTTAATATTGATGTCGGGACTCTACTGCAAATCGCCCAGCAGAAAACAGCCAAAACCATGAAAAATATATTCAAAAAAAAAAATTATTTCCGACCTACCGACCCTAATTTTTTCACGATATGAAACCGGAACCACAGGTATTTTTTTTTTACGCCCAATTACAGTACTAGGTCCATATTTATATATTTCAAATTAATCAAAATAATCAAGCAATACCGTAAACCTTCGACTATAAGCCCAGTGTGCTTATATACTTTCATAAGCGATTTCTGATGGGCTTATACAAGGGTGGGCTTATATATGGGGGGGGGGCTTATGCATGTACATGGACGATTTTTTGTGTTAGTAATAAGCAAGTCAGACATAAACAAGTCAGTCATAAACACGAAAATAAACATGTATTAATAACGTGTTCTGATTCACGTAGTGGGCTATAAAGACAATGACAATGTTTTAAAATATTGGCATCTGTTCAAAAACAGTTCTCTGCTATATTAAAAGACAATGTCAATGTTGAGTAATGTATAGTGGGCTACTGGGCCTATATTATATTTGGGGGGCTTATATTTGGGTGGGCTTATATTCGGGGTGGGGGGGGGGCTTAAATATATTTGGAATGAGGTGAGCGTTGGTATATGTGTTGGGCTTATATCCGGGGGAGGGCTTATATTCGGGGGGGGGGCTTACTGTTTAGTCAGAGGTTTACGGTATGTAAACATTTTATCTGTTTTAATTGCTGTTTTGCCAAATTATTTCGTTTTCATTCTTTGAAATAAAATATTTTGAGACCAAATTAATCAATCGATGTATTTTTTACAACCTGCTTCAGCAGTTGGCGTACCGGTATGTGATTCAATAAAATATCATTGCAATATTATATGGTCAAAACCATACATCTGACCTATGAGAATTTTGCATCCAGATTTGAGGTCGCGACGACCAAAAATTGCAATATTGTCAAAAATCAACAATAATTGGAAACCTTATTATATTATTATATTATTTGGAAACTTTGGAAATTGGAATTTATCGAAAACCTTAACACAAGTGTTATTTTCTGCTGGCTGAGGAACGAAAGAGGCAGAAAATGTTTTTCTCACACTGCTGGGGGATTGGGTCAAGGGTGGGGTCAAGGTCATCAGAGTCACTTTTTTGCTTGCCTCGTGCTAGCCTGACCTGTGTCCCACCCACCCACCCTATTG